GCGGCTGCTGCTGCTGCTGCTGCTGGGGGCACAAATATCACCTCGTATAAAGCATTTCAGCGTTTAGTAACTAAAGGCAAAGTGGAGGGAACGATTAATTCTTTGCCTCCTCTTCAGAAATACATTAACCTGCTATAAAAACAAAGTGAGACAACTGTCTTTTAAATTTAACTAGCCCTCGAATGCACAAACATTCCCTCTGGTAAAAGGATGAGTCAAATGAAACCCTCAAATATTTTTTTTCATAGTTTCTGAATTATACCCTGGCATTCGCTTTACAACTGAGGAAAAGCACGGAAAACCTCAGTCAGGGTAGCCGACTTGGCCGTCTTTTGGGGACAGCCTCGGTTGGCCTTGGGTGACCTCCGTCAGCCTCCCGAGTTGCCGGACTCAGGGGTTCCCCACACCAACTAACTTATGAAAAGTAACTGGAAAGAAAATTTTATGAGAACTGATGATGGCTGTTTCGGTCGTGGCCAGAAGGGACTGTGGTGTACCACAAAGGAACTCCGTTGGGGTAGCTAGTCCGAATCCCAGATTCGAACCGCGTTCAGTCAAGTTAATTTTTGTGGACATGGATAGTGATTAGATTTGCAGTGCGCCCTGTGCCAAACCTCCGTCGCCAATCGATGACGAAATTCAAACATCGGAACTACTCAGTGCACCTACGTAAATGGCGAAATGAAGAGGCTCCCTCTATTTGCCGGACTAATTAAATAAGCTCTTTATCTCCCGCGAGTAGAACACAGTAGCCCTAACGCGACTCGTCGCAAGTGTTGGAACAGGGCTGGCGTGTTTCGACGGGATCCGTCATTCAGAGGTACGGCTGACAGCCTGCCCTGTGCCTTGTGGTTGATACGGAAAGCATTAAAGGAGCTCAGTCAGTAGAGTGACTGACTATGGTTAGACTTTTCCTCTAGCCTCTGCGTCCAGACCTTGTTCTCGAGTCCGTCCAGCCTCCAGTCCAATGGGTACCGAGGTCCTGGCCACTCACCCCATCTAGTGCCGAGGTTAAGAATTAGTAGGAGCTATACTCATCTCCCCCCAAGCGCCTACATGGAGTACAGTGGAACAGCTTCTTGTGGTTACGGAAACTTTTCTGCATCCTGGACGGAGGACAGAGGGTCGACCAATCAATTCGGTCTTTTAGAAGTCCGTCGAGGAGAAGGATAGACAGAATGGCGGGGGGGGGGGGGGGGGGGGTGCATGAGCACTCTCCGCCTTTTCGTATTCCAAAAAAACACGCTGAAACTCTCCAGTGGCTTCTGCACTGCCTTGAAGGTTGCGACTGCACTCTCATCGGACTTCTCCGGGCGTGGGGACAGTTTTAATGTAGACAAACGCAGAGCGTACTCCACCTGTTTTGCATACTGCAGATTCTTAGGCGCAAGCCTCAAAATTCGCGCACACAAAGGCGCGTCACGCTCCTGCAGTCTGAAGAGGAAACTTCAACGTGTGTGGTCCTTCATCTTCTTAGGAGACATCAAAATTTGGTGGTAAAATCTTCAAGCCGAGTTTCGCGATGGGTGTGGAAGGAAACTACAGTTCTCGTTAAGTTTCCGTCTCAACATCTACCTGGAGGAACTGAGTAAGACCAAGAATCTAACCCCATACAACCGGGACATTCACAAACAGCGACTAAGTCGTTCAGTTACGTTTTGATACACACGAAGAGTGGCCTGGATATTTTGTTGCACATTTCATGAACACGACTCGCGAACACCTAAATAGGTTCATGGTTCTGGACCACATGATTTTCCTCTTGTGCTCCAAACATTTTAATGATGAAAGTGCTCAAAATGTTCATCTTGCTTTATTTGGCACAAATTTCTGGGACCTTAAAACCGAATTCGGCTCACAGAAACCTCAAGAAAGCGAACCGAAAATCAATTTAAGCGATTCACGTAAGGACTTGGCGAGCCACGGAACCGGGCGGTTACAAGCGGCGGGAATTGATTGGAATTCTGGTTGGAGGAACGCACGAGCAAGGCCCGACCACCAAAGCCACAGAGCGATCCCCAAATTCCTTCAGCCCAGCGTTTCGGCAAACATTGCAGTCGCCTTCTTCAGGTCGAACGTGTGGAGGCTGAGCGTTCTTGGAAGCCTTGCCTTTGACGGAACTTATCAAAAGGACCCCAGCCTCCACACGTTCGCCCTGAAGACGGCGACTGCAATGCCAGCCGAAACGTCAGACAACTATCAAAACTCGACGCGGCCTTGACCCAAAGAACGACGTTAATCAAAGTATTGAGGTTATGTGAAGTCAAAGTTCAAAAGCAAAGTGTAGTCGGGGGGGGGGGGGGGGGGG